CCTTCGGGTCACTTGGCTCCTCACACTCCCCAATGCCCTCATACCGTTTAAATGAATGTGACGACAGGATGCCAATGATCGTGGTCGGCCATGCTCGGTGCCATTTATTCTCGAGCAAGTCAATTATAAATTATGATGACAGTGATCACAACGTTTATGACATTACATTCGGCGACTGGCTTCGATTTCGAATTGGATATCGACTGCTGCCAGCGGAAGTGGGATATTGGTGAGACGTAAAGTAAAATGTCGAGTAGCGACGACTGAAACGGTCACAACATTTGTTGTCGTTAATAATTTAAAAAGCGACTTTGTGGCATTTTACGGCTGCATTTTTCTATTTTCTTCTTTTTTTTCTTCCAACCCGTCAAGTGCCCATAACGATTTAACCGATTGACAGCTGCGAAGTGGGTGTCCAGTCCACCTTACCTCGCAGCTGTTGTTGTCCACAACCAAAGTACGAGTCCAAGTCCAAGTCCACGTCCAGGTCCCTGTTCCTCTTCCTGTTCCTGTCCCTGTCCTCCCTGTCGCCTGTCTCTGTCTCTGTCACTGCTCCGTTGTTAGCCGGCAGTCCGTGCCGTTGTTAAGTTTGTCATATTTTATGGCCCGGTTAGGACTGGCAGCGACCCCTGTCCAGTGTCCACAGTGACTAGTCCCCCGAGCAGCCCCAATGCCCAATGCCCTGGCTCCGGTGATATATGTATATGACAAGCGCATTTTGTTTTAGTGGCATGGGTGACAATATACCTTTGGCAACTCTTATTTATTCACGCATGTCCTCCAAATGTGGCCCTCACACGCAATTCGCAAAGACATCCCCGTCGTTGTCGTCGTCGTTGCTGGGGGACAACAGCAACAAGGATACACGCGCAGTCGTACTCGCCGGTAGTTGAGGTCTGCCTACATTATTAATTGTTGTTAATTAACAGAGCTTTTTACAAGTAGATATTCGTTACTCAGAGGAGACACGAGGTACAGGTACCGGCATCCCAAGCAAATCGACAGGTAAAAAGCGTAAGCATCGTAATTACAACGAGCACACGACAAGATAGATATAAAACCCTGGGTAACCAAGATATCTTCCTAAAGTCTATCATAAATATGCATTAATTTATTCCAGAGTATTACTTATTTAAGATACAAGAAGATCCCTTATAATGCTTACAATTTTTATAGTTTTTTTTTTTTTTCTGCTAAATTTATAAATCAAAACTAAACTATTTGCGTTCAATAAACACTCTGAAATTTATCCAAAAACCTTAGATAGAGTCAATGTACAAAATCCTAGCATATTTCCAATATTTAATCAAAATCTTAGCAAATCTTTGCCTAGCTCCCCTGACAGACCCCTTGTGACTTGTTTGTCAAGGGTGTTTCTGCGACACATTCGCTTGGCTTAATTGACTGCATTATTTATGAGACGTGCTTGGGATGGCCAAAGAAAAGGGTTGACATACGGCCAGGGGCTGTGGCAGTGCTCCATCAAGGCCGGCAGTGGTCAGTGCCCTGGGCGGACGAAAAAATTCCAAGATGTGGGTGAACTGAACACGGAACTATTTCCTCTCATTGCGCCCATGAAATATTCAGCAAGTCAATTTACCATAACGGAATGCTACTTGGCACAACTCTTTCTCAAGTTTATGCGATGCATTTTCATGTATTTTATTTCGTGTATTCATATCAAGAAATTGAACGGTATACCACAAATTCTATAATTTCATCACACATCAGTGTTTTTTTACGCCTAAATTTCTAATGTTTTCAATTTTTTGATTACTTTAATTTTGATATTTTTACAAATTTAAATGTTTAAAATGTTTACTTTTTACCTTAAGTTAATTTTAGAGATATTTCAAGTTCGTGTTACGAGAATTCCAACAACTTTCACGGAAAAATGCATAATTCATGTAATTCTTATTTCACGAATTAGTCATTGTTCAGTAATAGTTCAGTTATAAAAAAAATATTGCCAAACTGTGATTTCATGATATTGTAACCAGTTACATAGAAATAGAGTTTTTAGATATTTTATGTAATGATTTCACGAATTCGTCACCGCATAAACCCAAATACATGTGCCTAATAGATGTCTTTTGGGATTCAGGGATTGATTTGCGAGCCAGCAAAAGTAGTGAGGTCATTAATTAAGTGGAAAGTTTCTGGGGGAGCCCTTCTTCGCTAACGACGGGTATCGTTTGTCAATATATACATGTATCCCCCAGACCGAGACCTGTGGACCCTCGGACCTTCTTCTCCTTGGCATCTGAGTTTGGACGAAGGTCGACCCATTGGCGACCGTGACCAGACTTCCGGTCCAGCTCCAGCGGAGATCGGGTTCGAATGCGGTGCCGAGAGTGGATCTCGTCCTCGGCGGGAATAAAAATAAATTACTTTAAACGGTTCCGAATAGCAAATTGCAGATTGTCATTTCGAAAGACATACCTTGCCACACATATCAGTGTCAATGACTGGGATCTGGGACTTGGTTGTGGTCGTGGAGCCTGGATTGGGGGCCGGACCTTCTACCCCTCTCCCTACCCATCGCTCTGTGTGTGTGTGCGCAATCTCGAGATGACGAATGACCACAGGAGAACGCAGAGTGAATCGGGATCACGAGACGCGAGGCCAGAAACGGCAATAATGCGAGCCTGGGACGGTGAATTCGCGAGAATTGAGATTGGCTTGAATTCTTATAATTGAGCCGAGCAGATTTTTAAATCTCTTCCTTTGTTCCCCATGCTGTTGACTCTGAGAAGGTAAGGGGAGCCTCCATCCCCCCGTTTCCCTTTTGGGCAGGAAATGCGGAAGGGAATGCAAGGTCCTATCGATTTCAAGTTGCCACAAAACCATGTGAGAAATCAATTTCAGTAAGGGGGTTTATCCACTAACAATATATATACGATTAACAGAGGGGATTAGCTATAGATTTGCTGATTTCTTTCGCACCTAAACTCATCTTAAATCTACATATAACACAAGATTACTGCTTAGAATTAAGCAATCAAGGCTCGAACCTTAACCCTGAATATTAGATATGACTTTTCAAAGTAAGGAAAACTAATTAAAATAATATATATGTATATAGATTCTTTCTATATTTGTAAACTTTCCAAAGGATTTTTGCTAGCAACGTTGGATATATTGGCTGGTCGGATCGAATATATTCTTCGGCCAGAGGAAACTACCGGCATTGCCCTGAATTATTGACATCTGGTCCCATGCCATCAATCTCCCGGCAGATTAAGAGCACTTGAGTGCTGCTGCTCCTGCTCCTACTGCTGCTGCTGCTGCTGCTGCTGCTAAGCCAACCTTCTATTACACAGGTACACGAGGTACTCGGTGTGTGCTTGTATCTACCCATAATGCAAGTGCAGCCAAGTTCAGCCCCAACTTTGGACCCGGCCAAATGTAATTTCGCCGTCTGACCAGCGATCCCTTCTGTCCCAAGCCGCATTCGGTGCACTTTACCAATATGGCAGCTTCGTTGACGTTGCTGCCCCCAGATACACTGTGAGAATTTTTTATGAAATACGATTAAGAGGATCATCTTTGAATTTATTTTTTGAAAATATACCTTAAATATTTTATTAATAGAGAAAAAAATATATATCTAATTATGTTTGAGAGTAAGTTGCAATTGGTAACTAGTAAAAGAAGTAACGAGTAACTAGTAAAAGAAATACCATTCTTTAAACATCTTTTTTAAATATTACCTGAGCAAATAATATTAATGTTGGTAATGATATTTTGTACTCATTACAACTATGTAGTAAATAGCCTATTTCAGTTGTAATTGATAACTTTTAACTAGTAACTAGTAACCAGTAAAGACTACTATGAAATGAGATGCTAATAAAATGGTATAATCTTATGGTCATATACTCTTAACAACTAGAATCCAGTACGCAGAAAACGAGTACGTAGTCTCTAGTAACTAGTTGCTGTTAAATTAACAAGAAACTAGCAAATCCAACTTTAATAAGTAAATACTAAATTTAACTAGAAGCAAAGCAATATTTGATACTCGAATTTTTCCTGATATTTTTTTGGCTCCGTGTGATGCTGCTGCTGCTGCTGCTGTCGTCAATCGCCGGACTTTGGCTTTGGATGTCGGGGCGGGCAGACTGCCATCGTATCGAGAGCGTGTAGAAGAATTCGTGCCGTGACCGCCCCTTTCAATTCTGTATTATCAGATTAGCTCTTTCATAAGCTATTTGTTGTTGCTGCAGCCGCAGTTGCCGCTGTAATGGCACTGACCGCCAGCATTAAGTTACGATCGGGCTGAGAGTCGTGGTATCCATAGGGATTCCTATGGCCAGGCCTAGGCCTAGTATGATGGCCAAGATGCCGATGATGACACTGCTCGTTGGCTGCTTTTGGCCTTAAATGGGAATTAGAGTTGGGTTAGCAGCAGCGTTCAGCTCCACGACAGGTGCACTTAAGGTATACTGGGGGTTAGGTAAAGCCAGGCAGCGGACACAAACCAAACAGAGCGAGTCCCGAGTCCCGAGCAGGGGTCACTCCCGAGCGATGAACGAGAGATATTTTCATCATATGCCGTACCACTATCTGGGCTCCATCGCTGTGCCACGACGGTGGAGCTTGAAGAGATGCGGAGACTCTTAGCAGAGGATAGGAGGAAAATATATGTACAAGAACTGAATTATAAGCCGAGGAAGTCAAAGAACTCGGGATTTAGTTTAAGTTCTAAAGTCTCTATATCCAATTTAAAATTCTCTAGAGAATTTTATTAGCTATCAAGTTGTATAAAAGTAAATGTAATAAAAGTAAGTCATTTGCCGTTTGTCCTTTGAACTTTTCTTTATTAAAATATGTTTAACATAAGCATATATATTATATATAAAATACATATAATCACATTTTATGAAAGGTAATGAGAATTTGGGATCAATGAGCTTTTCTGTGGCTCCTGCTCCTCCTGCTCCTTCTGATGCTCCTCCCCTTCCTACTCCTTTTCCTACTCCTCTCCCTTCTCCTCTTTCTACTCCTCGTTCTACTTCTCTTACTACTCCTCATTCTACTCCTCTTCCTGCTCCTCTTCCTACTCCTGATTTCGGATTGTTTCTGGGCCTAATACCAAGCCGCGTTCTACGCCAAGCGATGGACTTGAATGCTCGCCTCAGTCAAGGATATCCGAGGCCAAGTCCTAGCGCCACAAGCGCTCCACGGGCTGTCGGGTCCACTTGTCGGCATAGCCAGTGGGATAAGGTTCCAGCTGATGCTGATGCTGGTGCTGCTCCTCCTGGCGGATAAAGTACTGCTGGTGTTGCTGCTGATGATAATGATGATGCTGCGGTGGCTTCGGGTGATGGAAGGCTGCTGCTGCTGCTGCCGCTGCCGCCTGCTGCTGATAGCTCTGGTACATGGCCAGCTGCTGGCGATACTGGTACTGGTACTGGAGCATCTGCAGCTGCTGGTAGGGATGTGGTGACGCATAGCCCTTGCCGCCGTGATGCAGTGCAGCCTGCGGCGCTTTGCCACCGGTCCGAGATGCCAAATGCTGGGCACCACCTTGACCCCGTCGTAGTCGTCCCGTCGTCTCGCCAATGGTCAGATCCTCGGCATAGGGATCCAGGGCCCAGTAGTGACCACGTCCGGGATCGTCAAGGGCCCGTGGCACCCGTACAAAGCACGGATTCAGGCTCAGGTTGTGACGGATCGAGTTCTGCCAGACGCTCTTGTGGCTCTGATAGTAGGCAAAGTTGTCAGCGATCCACTTGCAGATCCCGCTCAGGGTGAGCCGTTTCTCTGGGCTGCTCCGGATGGCCATCACAATGAGAGCGCTGTAGGTGAAGGCGGGCTTGGACACGGGACTTGAGTTGGAGCTGGAGCTGGGACTGGCAATGGAGCTAGAGCTGGAGCTGGGACTGGGACTTGAACTGGAGCTGGAGTTCGCTGTACCACTGACCAAGCCCGAGCCCTCGTCGTAGGAGGCCTCCTCGGAACTGTGCCCCGAGTCGCTGGGACTGGGTGGAGCATACGGCGTGGATTCCTCCGTCTTGGCTCCGGCGAGCAGCGAGCGAATGGAGAAGCTGGACTGGAAGACCGCCGATGTCGTCGTATCCATGCTGTGTGGGTGTGCGTGTGTGTTTCTCTGGTCGGAATTGTCGCTTGACTGTGGCCTCTTCGCCGCTGGCCAAGCTATTTATGCTTGACGGAGCGGGGATTACGCTGGCATCCTGGTCCCAGGGGACACCAGCGCGACACTAGCGATTAGCTTTAATCGCCGGCCAGATATGCGCGCTTAATGAAAAGCAGATCAATGAGAGCCAAAGCCACGGATTCATTCATTGATCCACATCCGCGAGTCCGGGGAGTCGCAAAACGTTTTGTGGATTAGCGGCGGCCTAGCGCACTCTAAATTGGATTAATTCTACCTGCCCACGGAGAGCCGAGAACCCCTTTGGCCCCGACCAGAGGTTGCCTGGCCCAGATTTTCCGATTTTCCGCTTGGTATTGCTCAATCCATCGCGCTAATCAACAGCCTCAAATATTTGTAAATTGTTCACGCTTGTAACTGATATTCCTGCAGAATCCTTTCCCGGAAAATGTGTGCCAGTTCCAATGTTCAACAACAATTGTTTCTTTATTTAAAGAATAAAAAATTTTAGTTTCGACTTTTTACTTAAGAAAGAGTGTACCAAAACCAGGGAAAACTCCTAATGCTTTTACCTCGAAACATCCAAAGTTTCTTGGCACTTAATCCCTTTATTTTGTTCAGCAATTATTACAGAATTATAATCCTTGTTAAACCATGTTCTTCACCCATCTGCTAACCCAAGTGCGAATGGGAGTGCACAGTCGCCCTACTAAGTGAGTTGGATATTCAGACAGTCATTATTTTGCATGTCGACTGGCGGCGGGTTGCATGTGCTGCTCCTAACAATCCAAAACTAACGCTAAATATCGAGAATACTGTTTCTTTTTTCCATTTTATTTATCAAAAGCCCCCTCTGGGGGGTGTGGGAGTGGGAGGAGTTATGTCGGCCTGGTAGGAAAGTGTCCGTGGTCGCAGCAATATTTACGATGTGATTTAACTGCCGGCTGCCGGGGTGGGTCCCTCTTACTAACAAATTAGTTGCAGTTGGCAGGAGTACACTATCAGTTTTTGGGCTGCCACATAGCCCATTCCCATTCCCATTCCCATTCCCAATCCCAATCCCATTTCCCACTCCAATTCCAAACTCCAATCCCATACCCAGGCCCACCAACAGCGGCAGAGGCACGCCCACCCACTCTGACATGGCTCGGGGCCTCCTCGACTGCATGTGTGCCCTGGGATGCCACATGAGCCAGTAGTATATGCCCTCCTCTATATGCACAAATACATATATATGCATATATATCGCATCCATCCAACTATCTGGGCAACATTACCTGTGCTCCGTGCCTCGATGGTCGGTGCACTTTGTCCTTATGTACAACTGATTTACATGCACGCATCCATGTAGCCGTGTATCCTAGGTGGGGAGGAGCCACCACCTGGTGCCACCTTCGGGACAAAACAGCCGTGGAGCAAGTGGAAGCCTCTGGGCACACATTTCAGTATGAAATGTCCTCCACTGGAATTGGTAACAAGCTGAGAATAGGTCGATATCTATGTGGAAATCTTTTTTAAATAGGAAATCAAGGATATCAAGGGGGTTACCTTGGGGACCTTAGGGACTTATAGTTTTCCTATTATGGTAAATTAATGAGAAATACCAATTTATAAAGCACTAGATTAACTTGCACTTGAAAAACAACCAACTGTCGCTTCTTTTCTTTTACAAAATCCAAATAAAAACCCATTAGGAGTTACGCAACAAACCCCTTGGGCTGACTTGCATTTTAAAGCAAACGAATTAGAAACAGTTTAAATTGTTGGAGTCCACCCCAGGCAGTAACAGCGGACTCCCTCCCGAACATTGTTTCGCCGTGGCGCCACACTTAATGGCACATTAAGGTGGCAAATGGAAGACACTCGCACATAGAAGGCTCTACATAGAGGGGGAAAGGACTCTCTGGCATACATATGCCATATGGCGGCGTAATACGTAATATATGTAAGGATATGTAAGGTGGAGGCGGAGGAGTACGAGGACGTGCCGCTGGTACGGATATCCCGTTGCCAGTGTCTGCTGTTGTCGTTGCTGCTGCCTGCCGCTAGTTTTCTGCGTGTCCGCTGCAGGCTTAACGATAACATTGTGGCAATTTTATTTACCCATAATCTGTTGTTGTTCCAGGTCTCTCTGCCAGGAGCCAGGAGTCGGGAGCCAGGAGCCAGGAGCCAGTATAGTGTGGCACAGACACAGAGGGCCAAACCCCCAACTTAGACCGAGACCGAGACCGAGACCGATACTGATACCGGCGAGGAGTATCCTGCCAACAGGAAGGAAGAGAGCGAATTTCAGCGGAAGGAAACACTAAAATGTTACTTTAAATAAATTGCACCACAGCCCAGAGAGGCCAGCTCAGCGCAGCTTAGCCCGGTTCGGGCTCTGTTATTTTCCCCGAAAAAGGGGAGGCCATTGCAATGGCGAAGCAGCCGGCAATGTTACTGGTCTATGCAGGCCCAGGGGTGACATGGCCAACCACACGACGCTCGCACCCATATCTCATGGCTATACATACGAGCGAGCACACCCCATGGACACCGACACCGACACCGACACCGACACGGACACGGACTGCATGTGCAGATACTGGCACTGCATTTATTTATTTGGACACTGACGCCCTCGTCCTCGTCCTCGTCCGCGAAATTTACGAGCTCCCTTAATCGATCTAAAATTAAATGGCTGGCTGGCTGGCTGGCAACCCTTGCCGAGAACTGCAAGCCAACTGCCACTGCCACTTCCATTGCCAGCTATCTGCAATCCTAATTGTTATCAGCAATTTGCAATTCCTCCCCCGAAAAAGCAACTATCGTCCTCCGATTCGCTCAAGTTCATCCGATTTATTCGGTATCTATGGGGAACTAATATTTGGAGACTACATTTCAGACTAAAGTTGGGTATTTATTTTAACAAAATGTTTGCAATGTGTTTTTTTAATATTTAAAAACACAACTGCAGCTGGTTTTTTGTGTAGTCTGTTTCGCTTTTACCATTAAATTTCATCAGCAAACTGTGCTACGGAATTCTGACTTGGGAATTACTAGGGCATTCATTCGAAAAAAGAAGTGTCTTATCATCTAAGGGTTGTGTTTTAAAACTTAACCTTTTAGGATAAAAAATATTAAAGAAAAGACACCTTTAGCAGGCTGTTTTCTATTCGATTTTATCATGAAAATGCATCAGCAAACTTTGCTACAGAATTCTGACTTGAGAATTACAAGACCTTTATCCTTTAAAGAAAAAATGTCTTGTTGTTGTGAATTAAATATTTAATCTTTCTATTTTAGAAAAAATATTAAAGAGAAGTCAACCATGAACCATCATGAAAACTAATCAGAAAACTTTGCTACATAATTCGGACTTGGGAATTACAAGGGATTACATTCAAGGACCTTTAAAGTTTACACTTTTAATTGTAGCTTTAGCCACAATGTATTTTTTCTCCGGAAATTGTAGTTAACATTTTCTGACTTGAATCCTTAACTCATGTTTTCATAAAGCTATATTTAATTTTTCTACTTACCTTAAAATACTCACAGGTCTGAACTTCCCCGCCCGAGATAAGTGCACACATAAAGGATTTTAAGAATTTTTTAGATATTTTATTGCAAACATATATAGCTTAAATATGAGTTGAAGGTATTTGCCTGGTTACTGCTTCAGAACTAACTAATCCACTATATAATTACTTTAGGATTTGTTTTTGTAATAAAGAAAACAACAAAACTCTATTATTTCGGCTGGGATTCGAGACTAATCGAAATCAGTGATCATCGGCAATCAGTGTTCGTACAATCGCTAAATCGATATAAATCGATTTAAATCGATATTCAGTATTCTCTGATCATCGTCCGTTTTTGTTGGTTTCTTCATATATGTATATATCAAGCGTTTTCTCGTTGTTGACTCGTTTCATTTCCGTTTCCGTTGCCATTTATCGATATATCGTACAATACACTCAGGGGGTTTCTCCTCTCGTTTTAACAATAGAAAAAAAAAAAAAAATATTACACACGATATATTTACCAGTAGAGGCGCTGCTTAGTGGCTACGTACTTACACATTATCTCGAGTATCACTAACAATAATATATATATTTATATATATATATATATCGTTAATTATTCATTTAGTACTTGTTACATGCTTTCTTTGCCATCTATGTATTATCAATTCTCTACACAATTCTCGATTATCGATTCTCGACGATTCTTGTACACCAAACAACAACAGTTTTCCATAAATACAAGTTTCCAAAAATAAAAAAAAAAAAATGGGACTCGTATTTATTATATTTATATATATATATTTATGTATAGAAAAAAAATGCTAGTTGTTCCATCTAATATTTTATATTAGCAGTAGCCTAGGTGAAAGTACTTCGTATTCCGTGAGCCAAGTCCTCCTGCGAAATGAGCAATGCCGTAGTCCTAAGAGTCCTATGAGTAGCCTGACAATGCATGAACCAGTCCCGCTCCCGCTCCCGGCCGTGGATCTAGTGATAAAATGCCAACGCCTTGGCATAGTACGAGGTACACGGTCATGATATGCGATCGGGGCTCTGCCGCTGGCCCACCTCCTCCAAGCCCACACCATGTGCTCCTCCCACCGCCGTCGTCGCCGGATGCGAGTGCGCATAGTCCGGGGAGCCGGATCCCCCGGAGCCGGACCTCGAGGGCGACCGGGAGCGCGAGTGGGGTCGCTGGTTAGATGCTGGCGGCGTTATCGAGTGCTGGGAATTCGAGTCGGAGGAGGTGCGTCGACAGAAGGGGCTCAGCCCACCGACTCCCACTCCCACTCCAGCGCCGGCTCCGGTGGCCAGCATATGCGGCGTCAGCTGGGGAAAGCGCGGTAGACGTGGCAGGCCGGCGAAGAGCAGCGGATTACCACCGCCATGATTGAGCAGCAGCCGGGGATCCGGTGATCCGTCCACCAGCGGATACCCATGCCCGTGGCCATGGCCCACAGCGAAGCGATGCTGCAGGGCCTCGAAGCAGAGCGGCACATTGAGGCCGTGAGCATGGGCACCGGCACAGATGCGTGCCAGGATCTCCGCCTGGATGCTGCCCACAGCCGCCGGTCCCACGCCCACGGATGAAGCTGCCGTTGCTGAGGGATTGCCGAAGCCACCGCCACCTCCATTGCCACCACCCTTGTTGTTGTTCAGATTGAGACTCATGAGCTCCAGCAGCGGATCCGTGGGCAGCACCGGCAGCAGGCCATGATCGTCGCTGGTGGAGAGCAGCTTGCGGTGCAAGTTGAGGTTGGAGCTGTGCCGGTCCCGACTCCGCTTCGAGGGGAAGGCCGCGTTGCAGCCGTCGATGTTGCACTTGTGGTGGAGCTTCAGGTGCACGCTCTGGTAGTGCGTCTTTAGGTGGAAGTGGTTCTGGAATATCTCGCCGCAGGCGGTGCACTTTAGCGGGTTCTCCTTGTCGATGGGCACCTCTGGCTCTGGATCGGGCTCTGGCTCCGGCTCCGGCTCCGGCTCTGGTTCAGGCTCTGCCTCTGGCTCCTGCCCTGGCTTCGACGACTCCGGATCGGTTTCGGGAATCTGGCGATCCTCCGAGTTGCTGCGTAGTCCATTCTCGCCCTTCATGTGGGTGTTGCTCGTGAGCTCGTTGTTATTGTTGTTGTTATTGGTGGCGGTTCTGCTGCTGCAGTCGCCATCGTCAACGTCATCGTCACCACCCATGAGCTCCTGCTTGATGCGCAGGTAACGATTCTCGTCCGCTTCGTAGCTCATCTCATCCAGCGGCTCCAACTTGATGTTGGCCGCGCCCAGCGACAGATCCAGCGTGGTGCTCAAGCTCTTCTTCTGCTTATCCCGCTGCTCCTGGTCCTGCTCCAGTTCCTGCTCCCGTTCCCGTTCCCGCTCCCGTTCCTGCTCCTGCTCTTGATCCTGGTCTTGGTCCACACTGGGATCGTGCTCCGTTTTAATGCTAAGAGCTGCCGGCTTGAGATCGCCGTAGGGCGTGAGCGGCGGCGAGGGTATCGACTTGGTGGACTCGCCCACCTCCGTTTCTTTGGCTGATGCGGCGGCCTGCACGGGCAGACGCACCTTCTTGATGGACAGGTCGGCGGCCACGTCGTAGTCCACCGAGTTGTCGCCGGAGTTCTCGTCCGACTGGACCGGACAGCGCACTGGATTTTGGCTCTTGCGCTTTCGCTTGTTGGCCGCCATCTGTGCGAGCGCCTGGGCATGGGCATGGGCCTGGATATGGGCCTGGACGTGGGCATGGTCTTGGGCAAGGGCATGGGCATGGGCATGGGGGTGAGCATGGGCATGTGAGTGAACATGGGCGCGGGAGTGGGCTTGGATATGGGCCGGGGCCTGGGTTAGAGAGTGGCTGTGGCACTCCTCCGCCGCCTTGGCCGAACTGGGCAGCTCTTTGGTTTGACTGTGGCCGGATACGGCCGACGCGGAGCGTTCGTCGCTCTCATCCTGCTCGTGCTCATCCTGCTCCCGATCGTGATCGTGATCGTGCTCATTCTCGTGATCGTTCTCGTGCTCCAGCCGTATACTGTCCAGCTCATCGCCCACCACCACAATACCATCGGGATCGTCATCGTCCTCGTCCTCGTCCCCGTCAGCATCGGCCTCATCCTCATCATCGTCCTCGTCGTCGCCCAAGTGGATGCCAACCTGCAAGGACAACGTTTTACATTTCAAAAGGAACAGGTTAGGAATGGGGTTCTTGAGATTATAAGAATATATTTATATATATTTATGATTCTATAAGAATAAACGCTACCCACCTCGAGAATCTCGTCGTCGTCCTCGTCCTCCGTGTGCTCGTGCTCCGGCGGCAGCTTCCTGCGCTGGCCCTCGTAACGGCCCGCATCCAGGTAGGACCTCTGAAGGTAGTCCTGGCCATGCTTCAGCTCTAGAGCTCCAGCTCCCACTCCGCCGCCGCCGCCTGCACCACTTCCTCCTCCCCCGCCCATCGCATGATGCCGCAAGTCCGGCGGCGGCGTCAGCAACGGAAAGCTGCCAAAGGGCGCCAGTCCGGCCATAAGGCCATTGGGCGCCTGCAGGAGCAGCGGATGCGGCTGGGCACTGCGTCCGTCGTGCGGCGAGATCTTGCGCCGCAGATGCGGCGAATGGAGCTTAGGATTGGGGTTGGCGCTGTGCCGATTCCTCGAGCGCCGCGAGCTGAACATCATGCTGCAGCCATCCACGGTACACTTGTGCATCTCGCGCAGATGCACCGCCGAGAAGTGGATTTTGAGGGCTCCCTTGTCGCAGAAGGTCTTCAGGCAGACGTTGCACTGGACGCGCTTCTTCCCGGTCACCGGATTGATGAACTGTGTGCCCAAATTTGCTGGCATGGAGCCCCACTGCCGCTTGCCGCCGCCACCACCTCCTCCTCCTCCGCCGCCGCCTCCTCCAGGAGAGTGCGTCTTCCTGCTGGCCCTCAGGTTCGAGGACAGTGCCAGGCGGGTCATTCGCTGCGAATTGGAGCCCGAGTTGGAGCCCGAATTGGAGCCCGAACCGGAACCCGACACGGAGCCCGAGGCGGACGAGGAGCTGCCGCCGCCCTTGTCGCCACTCCGCTTGCCGCCCTCCTCGGCGGCGGCGTGCGAATGCTGGTGCGGATGCGGATGTGGGTGCGTATGCGGGTACTGGGACACGCCATGGGGCGGCGGCGGAGAGTGCGTGTCCGAGCCCGGCGGATGCAGGGGGGCGGCGGCGGAGGCGGCGGCGGCAGGTGATAGGCCATCGCCATGGCGCTGAAGAACTGGTTGCTGCGATGAAGGTGGTGCTGATGCTGCTGGTGCTGGTGCTGCGCATGCTGCTGGTGATGGTGGGCGAACTCCGTGGGACTGGGCAGCGGACCGGCGAATGCTCCCAGCGAGGCGGAGCTAATCTTGCGAAAGTCAAAGGGCTGCATGTTCTGCAGATCGCTGAGGGGATTCTCCGGCGCTGGGCCACTGCCGGAACCCGAGCCTGACCCGGGACCAGAGCCCGATCCCGACCCGGAACTAGAGCTATTCCTGGCACTGGCCGATAGCTTCTGCTGCAGCTGGCTTTGCAAATGAAGCTGGGCATGGGCCAGTTGCGAAAAGTGGGCGCTCATAGACTGCGTCTGGCTGGAGCGGCTGGACGGCGAGTGCTGCTGTCCACCGCCGTTGCCGGCGCTGGCATTCGGATTGTGGCCGTGGCTCAGGGCCAGCGGATGACGCAGCGGGAGCGTCAAAGGCAGCGGCAGCGGCAACGTCAGCGGCGGCAGGGGTGGCGAGCTGCGGCGACTGGAGGTCATCACCATCGGGAAGGATGCGGGTCCCGAATCCCGGTCGACGGGACTCAGGCGCTGCTCGGCGTTGCCCCGCGGCGGATGGGCGAGCGGGAGCGGATGCTGTTGCTGCTGCTGCTGCTGCTGGTGGCTGCTGAGCGGAAGCGGATGGTGCCGCTCATGGCCGGGCAGCTGGTAGTGATGATAGCCGAGCAGGTAGGATGCTGAGGGACTGGCGGTGATGGCGGGAGCGTTGCTGCTGCTGATGCTGGAACTGGAGCTGGAAACTGTGGCAGTGCCTCCTCCACTGGCAACGGGATCTGCAACACGACTGCTGGACTGTGGCTGAGGCTGAGGCTGAGGATGCGGATGCAAGTGCGGATGCTTCTCCTGGCCAATATTCATCAAGCGGCTTACGAACTACGGCTAATCGGTAGATTTCTGACGATATAGTAGACTAGATACAGGCTGTATAGGTTGCAGGTTGCAGGTTGCAGGTTGCTAGTGCTGTGTAAGGATCCCTTAGGGCTTAGCGGTATTCGATGCCGTTTCGATCGTTGGCTGGAAATAAATAAAATATATTATATATATATTAGTTTTTAATTTATATTTATTTTTTTAATTTTTAAACCAAGTTTCAACAGTCCAATCAAATTATAATCCGTTTTGCATCTTATTACATTATATTCTTTTTAATCTTTGTTCTCTTAAATCTTTGTTTTCAATATAGTCACATTAAGCAGTGTTCCAATTGATTAACATTGACAGATTCTAGCATTTTCTAAAATATATTTCGAAATATTCGAATATGAATTTAGAGAACACGCGAATATTTAAATACTTCGAGCTCAGCACTTTTTTAAAAAGCATTTTCTTAAAAGCTATATGCATTGATATTGACCTATATAAACAGAATTTAAATTGTTTTCAGTTTGCAAAAATAAAAGAAAACCTAAATAACATTATTTATAAGATATTTTCAAGGTGTGTGGCCTCATAAGCGCGATCTGTATCTGGATCTGGAGCGCCTTGGCCGGGGGGAGGGGACTCTTCGTTCCATATCTGCCATCTGAAACATTGTCCACATCTCGGGCGGCCGCTCAAGGAGTTTCCACCGAAACCGTCTAACGAAGTGGACACCACGCCATGGCAGACCTCCCAGGCGTGCATACACGAGTACAGAGATGATTATTGAAAAGAAAAATAAGAATAATGATGTGACAAATTCTGAGTGGACACTTCACGTCTGCGGCGATGGTCCGGTGGACCCATGGACGGACACTTGTAGAACCTGGAGAGCTCGCCGTGACATGACAATGCGCAAGTGTGCGTGCAGAAGACGCTCTTCGCACCGAAGACTGGGGCCACTTCAGGTCCGTCCCCATGTCACATTCTTGCTTGTGCGATCGGATTCGACCGCAGGCCCGGGACCCGACCAGATCCGAAGGCATCGCCCGATCGTGATCGCCATTCAACTTCACTTCTCGATCGAGGCGATGAGTGCCGCTTGGCGACGAATACTTCACTTGACGACGATTCCAAATCGGAGACTGTGTTGTGTTGTATGTTTAGCTAGATGATGAATCGAAACGGAACTAAGGCAACAGCAGCTGCTCGATGGCCCTCGAATCAAATGGTATTCGATTCGAAATGAACTCTGCGAATCGCGTTTAAATGCCGCACCCATTTTGCAAATAAAAATAATGTCTAAGGGGAACTTATCAGCAGAAACTAAGAAAGCACCTGCCTTTAAACGTCTTCTTTGTCAGAAAGAAATAATTATTTACTATTGACTTTATAACTAATCAAGTTATTTAACTCTATATATTATAAATACCTAATGAACCTGGTCTACATTAATCTTGATCAATTTCACACATCGTTTTTTAGAAGACAAGTCGCAATGGCTTTTATATATAGTTGTTTTAATTCCACCAAGTAATTGTCATTAGTACATCAATTTTAAATAATAATAATAAGATGCATAACACCTATTCACTTGCAAATTAATTTTATATATTTTTGATCAGAAGTACTAACAATACCTAACTAAATAAGATGCATAACGGCTTTACCAGAAGCTCTCTTTCTTCTCTCCATCAATTGGAGGTTGCACAGATCGAAATACCAAGAATCTTGAGAAAAAGACATTAAGTAAGAAGTCCAGCTTACATATACAATTCGCTGGCAGTTGCCTTGTCGATGGCAAAAACAGTTGTGACATTTCTGTTCAGAATATAAACACGGGTTTCATATACTATAATCCCCATCCCCCGTCCCAGCAGCAGTCACAGGTCCAGTGCCAGCCCAGCTATTTCATGGATAATCTGACGCACATTGTGTGTATTCCCGCTATGGAAACGACTTGACTTGGCTCGGCTCGGCTCCTATTATTACACTGTCTTTGGACTGTGCCATTTGGTGGCATTGGGGGGACTTGCATGACATATGTCATCTTGGCAAGTAATTTAAATGGTAAACAAATTGTTTTTTAATTGCCACCTGTTCGGACTGCTGCTGTAATGTCATTTATTTCGATTACGTTTCTCGGTGCTCGGTGCTCCGTTCTGTACTCTACGGATCTTGGCTTGGAATCTGGCACGGTCTTTGCCGGCATTTAGCCCCGGAGATGAAATGCGGCGCGACAGCGGTGGCTTTTAATTGCTTTCGGCTGATGTTTAATTTTTTGTTTTTTTTTTTTTCTTTACTCACTTACACTGCTGCTCTCTGGGCCCGATCCGAGTTCGGGTTCTGGCCAAACCAGTTCTCCCTCGGACGCACGTGTATCTGCCTTTGTATCTGTATCTTTGGCTGTGTGTTTTTGAGCCGATCTGTTGCGAGCACTGATTGCATCAAAGTGACAGTTTTGCAGTGAGTATTATTGGAGCAAAGCAATTATATAATTTGTTTGTTGTCTGTCCATAATAAGGGTACTTAGTCCATAGTTGCTGGACCGCTTTTGGCACCGTCTGCGGGATCAGTTCCGCTCGAGCTGAAACTGAAACTGATACTGAAACTGTGACTGCGACTGCGACTGCGACTGCGGCTGGAGCCCAGCTTCCGTGATTGGAGCCAGCTTGAGACATTAATGTGACTAAATTGCAGGCAATTGCAGGTCACTGATAGTCGGTATTTTGGGAGCTAATAGAGCTTATACTTTGAAGAAGTCGTCCCTACAAGAAAGAGAGCCCTAAAACTGAAATAAATCTTTTATATTTAAGCATCGTTTTAAAGAAAGGCAGCATAGATACAAGTAGAGTCACCTTAAATATAATGTTTTAAGGTTAAAAGTCGTACGAGTTTTATTTGACCTTTTGTGGTAACCTTGGAACGGAATCTTTCAGGCTTCCAGAGAGATTCCAGTTGGTTTGATAAATTAATACCAAGTAAGGATATGAAGTGTTATCCCATCTTTGAAAAATTCAACCAAATTTTGCTTACAATAACAAAGTCAATGAAATCTAGTAAAAAATAGTATCAAAATGAATAGCTTTAGTATCACTGAAAATCAAGCAAATAGGCGACTTAAATCAGAAAGAGTTTTGCTAAAACTAAACCTGGTTCAGGATCATATGACTTAACCATATAATAAAAGCAGCCTAAACAGAACCAAGGTTTCCTGGCTACACACGTTTCCCCTTCAATCGATGCTAATGGTCAATTTGTATGCCCCGACTCCTCCAACTCCAGCAGACAGACGAAAGTCTGTCCGAGATGAGGAGAGCTTCAGCTCCTTTCAATTTTGAATTTCACATGAAACTCATTTTCGTCTCACAACAAAATTGCCGCTAAGCTGCGAGAGCTCGTATATCGCATCGCAACGCATCGCATCCCTCGGACAAAAGATGAGAAAAATGGCATTCCAGACACCAATCATCTTTATTATTGGCTTTATCGCATAGAATCGGCGGCAGCCGTCATAAGGAACGTTTTTTTAACGCATTCCGAAGGCCATAAAGCAGCGGCCATAAATGCGTGTTAAAGTCGGCCAACACAGAAATTTCAGATGTCAACCATTAAACGCGGATACCCCATCCCCCATCTCCAGTCCCGACTCCGATTCCCGAACCCCACCAAGTGTCCCACGGCTCGCAGAGATCACAAAAGAAATCCCTCCGCCTTCGATTCTCTATTTTGTAAAACTTAATTTATGAAACACATAAAAAGTGTCAACACGGCCTGCTGCATATGAGATATGTTGGGCAAGCGGCCGGCCGGCCGCAAAGCCGGCAGAGTTAATGCCTCCGCCCGTCGACACCGGCGTGACCACGACGGCACCACTTCAGTTCCGATTATGTACGCCTCTGAATCGCACCGATTCCCAGCCCAGATCGGGGCATCCGAGGGCTTAACAAAGTGATTTCAACGAAAACTCCTGTGTTGTTTTTATTCGGATTTCGGCTCTTCGGTTTTCACTCTCTGCCGTTCAATATGCAAATCGCTTATGGGATCGTTGACGGAAGCCGCTGGGTGCAATCCCCAGAGCCACAGAGCCACAGAATCCACACAATCCGCAGAACCACAAAGAGAGAGCGCCAACAACGAGCGGTGGTGCTCAATGGCAAGACATGAACACGAGCACGAACATGGACTTGGGCTTGGGCTTGGGCTTGGACTTAGACCTGGATTCGGACACGGGCAGGGAGTGAGCCTGGGACTGCGCGACAAATGCCGCAAAATGGGGCACAGTGAAAAAATTATGCGGAATTATCAAATAAAAATGATGAGTGTTGAAACTTTGTCTTTGCCTTCATTATTTATTATTTCCCTACGTTTCTCTCAGTGCATTGTGGCGCTACTTGGTATCTGAGACCACTGTCGCCGCCGATCAGATGTGATGTTTGGGTCTGACTTCGCTGCGGGAGTTCACTTCAGCTCCCTGTACCTCGCCCGATACCTCTCAATGCCTTAATGCCTCGATCCCCTCCTGACCGAGACTGCGTCCGATTGGACGGCGTAATCCGAGGCTTAGACTGTGTAATAAGTGGATAGGTCGGTCGGTTAGCCCTCAAGCGCAGACACGAAGGCGCATCAAAATCATCCGATGGAAAGTGTGATATTGGGGCTACTGGATCTATGGGTTATCTTGGGCAAGCATCTCTGAGCACACTTTCGGCTTTGATGGGAGCATTTGAGCGAGGAATTAGCCAAGAAGCAGGCGCAGGTATCCTGGAGGTAACGGAAGTTTCTAAGCAAAGGTTAAGTATGTTTGCGAAGATAATTAAGTAATTTTATTTAATTTTTTGTTATATTAACAATGCTAAATAAATATCGATTAATATATCGACCTTTTTGATGCACTCTCGATACATTATCGATATCTCAATATGTTTTGCCATCCCTAGTCAAATTTCAAATCATATTGCGACATTTAAACATTATATACATCCTTAAACTAACAAAACCTTTTAAAGGATTAAGCAAAAAACGAACTCGATCACAATTTAATCGACTTGCAACCAGGCATTGTAATATTTTTGAGCTGATAACATGCCCCCACAGAGAATGTAACATTATTGACAAATGTTTCTTTCAGCAATATAACATTATAGGCGCATTGTTCGATTTTCAGTTTCGCAGATCGCAGATCGTCCATGGGACACTGGAAATCTGCACTCTTTTTGTTTATTTACCTCTCGGTTTTTGGGGCGTCGCCAACACGATGGCCAGGCTAAATTTGGCCATTTCAGGCCATCAGAATGGCTTTGGGTATGGGCCTGGCCGGCCCTGGCATTTGCGGCCACAAGAGCCTCTGCCTCTGTCTCTGCCTCTGTCTCTGCCTCAGCCTCAGCCTCAGTTTTGGACTCTGGCTGGGATCTCCACTGGCTTGCGATCTCAACTGAGCCACGAGAGGCATTCTTGCCCATGGCCGGGAGCGAGGCGAACGATTGATTGAAGGCAAACGCAAGGAGGAGACTGGGCCGAAACTGTGGTAACTCAACTGAAACTGGGGCCGAAGCTGCGGCAACGGCGGCGGCGGCTTTGTTCATCTGCTACAAGCATCGCATTTAATGAGATTTATATCAGTTTTTAATAGCTTTGTGACTCTATTGTGTTGGCCATATCTGAGGCGAATCTGGGGCCACCTCGACGGCCGATAGAGATATAAAATTAGTTTGCCGAGACATTGTCAAAATGGCTGAGTGACCGGGGAGCTAATGGTTTCCATACTTACGTTTCAGTGTCTCGGTTCCGTGAGCCGATGATGACTCCCGGAGTGCGTCTATATATATATTTGTATATATCTATATATAAATGATCAAGTCTTGTCTCGGTGTCCACGGTGCAGTTCCACGGCGGATCTGAAACGGAAGAGCTGTGGTTAGCTCAAGTCTGGGTATAGTCTATAGCCTATGGAGACGATCACGATCGTCGCATTTTGATGATTTGTGCCAACAGCACATCCGTCAAAATGTCAAATGCTTGGGCACACAGCAATAAATCGACACATTTCACACATCCATGCCAGAAATCGAATCTCCCCCGAAATCGGCTCTTAAAGATCGATATTCGATGCCGAATTCAACGCAAATCAACCAAGTCTCCCCACCCCAACAGCACGCCCCTGGCAGCAAAATGGTGTTAATTTAAATCAAATGACAAAATATAATAAACGACCATAAAATTTAATCCGAATCTTCTCTAAAACGATACGACAAATGTGCAAAGTGTCTGGGCACACACACAGCACAAAAAGAAGAACAATATTTGTCATATACTTATATTTAGCGGATTACGTCGACAAAGCTAATCCGCTACAAAGATGTATCATGGCTTTAAAAACCTTTAAGATTAGTTAAATTTAAAAACAAAGTTAAAGTTTTTAGAGATTTTAATGGGATTTATGGTAATTTTCTTTAATTTTGGCTTTTAAATCTCTTTAAAAGGCGTCTAAAAGTATGCTACTAAAAATTTAAGTTTATTTTGTTTTTAAAATATCTGGATTTGTAGCAAGTTCTAGTTGCTAAATATACAAAGTTTAAAATAAACAAATTAACTTTATGAAAATACAAGCATAGTTTTAAGCACATTTCTAGGGAATTTAAAAACCGTCGAGTTCTAAATATTTCAATATTATTTAAGTCATTCTCTGAATAAGTTATTTTTAACTTGGTGATCATCTTTACTTATGATTGAATAAGTAATATTTTCGATAATATCTCTTTAGTAATGAAAACTCAGTTCTTGAAACTCAGTTTTATAAACTTAAGATATTTCTGGACAATTTTTAACACTAGAATTCTATGAAAGTTGCAATATCTTCTCTTATAGCCTATACACCCCAACAAATATGAGGTAGAGTGCCTGCGGCATGGAGCCAAAGTTGACAGCGTATGACACAAAAGTGTAAAAAGAAAACCAATTAAACGAGCTAATCAAATTGTATTGTCATTAGCACCAGCAGCGGCGGCGGCGGCAACAACAGTAACAACAGCAATAATGGAAAAATAAGAAACCAAATTTAAACGGCTTATTAGCAGTACCATTTGGGTGTTTTCGTCAGTTTTCTGTGTATTATATGTACATATATATAAAAAGGGAATCTGTCTTTTGTGTACTTTTAGAATTGAAAAAGTAACCAAGAGGTATTCTTCTTAAAACTAAAAATAATTGCAATTTATAAGATCTGTAATTTAAATTCTATTCTCAAGTCTGCTGAAGTACCCCGACTCTGGCAGTGTATTCCCACGCCTTGCGGAGATTTTATTAAATTTTTTTTTATTTAATTTTTAAGGCCCTAGACCTGGACACTAAACATTGGCGCAATTCATTAGCTTAATTATCAGCTGCGGCGCATGTCAACCAGGCAGATCGACAGCCATCAAATATATAACAACCAAGGTATATATGGCATTGATTGCAGTATTAGCTATCAGCCCTCCTCGACCGGTGATTTTGTTCCATTGAATACAGCAAATGTTGCCCAGTTATATAGTACATACATATATGACAACGTAGAGCTGTAGTATTGATTAATTAATGAAAGAGTCCTTCGACTCTGCATGACTGAATACTTGATGTGTCCGGTGCCCAGATACTACCGACTCCCTCTGATCCCTGCGAATATAGACACGAGTGCTTTCCGTTGACATTGTAATTGAATCAATAATAAAATCAAAATGTACAACCAAGACAATGACACTCGGCAAACCCTTCTATGTCTCCGTATCCGTGTCCCTGTGTCCCTGTCCGAGTCCCTGACCATTTCCCTGTCCGTGTCATTCGCAGCACCAGGAATGGCAACATCACCGTCACCAGCTCTCAAGACCCGGGACCCTCTTCGAGTGCCATTGGATTTTGGCTTGGGTTTGGGGCAGATCCCCTCCATACCAGCACAGGAAAAAATAATATCCAGTGAATGATATTTTTGGTATAAGTTAAGAACAAATTATTCGATATTTGTAAGTGTAATGTAAAGAAGCCGAAAAACGGATAACCAAATGAAATCGATAAATCTATTTATTTCAATTATGCAATATAAAGGCATACCAAAATAAGATTTACTGCAAAACTAAGAAACTATATTGTAGAATAATCAAATATTATTAATAGAAGTCTGAAAATATAATATATATATATATTTGTGACTGCATTCGGGACTCCAGCTTGAAGATCTAGAGTTCTTTCATGTTCTATTATGTTGACTTAAGCTGGATTCAAATTAAATTACTAAAAAATCAAGTCAAAGGTTTGGCTTATTTATATATAATTTTTTTAATAGCTTTCAAAAACTCATTACTGTAATCTTGTTATCTGCACTTGACACATGCAACACAGTTTAAATAAAAACAAATATATTTTTTTCTTTCTGTGATCGTGTGTGTGTGTGTGTTCAATCAATGACTTCGACTTCGACTTTGGCTGGGCTGTCTGTCTGTCTGGCTCTCCTCCGACTGACTTTCCTCGGCGAGTGCATGTGTGTGTCTTTGCCTTTTAGAATTTGTTATAATGTGTATATACATATTTCATTTTTGAACTGTCTCCCTGACAGCCAACGAACGATTTGAGTGACGTACAAAACGATGTCGTGTTGTCGTGCCACGGACCGAGTTCGCGTCCAACCAGGTTGACTTTTTGTCGCTGCTCCTCCGCTCCGCTTTTGGCGTATAAATATATATATATATACTTGGGGGCTGGCAAGTGAGTATATAGGAGAGTCAATCGGACAGACACGGCAATAGTGACTTTGACTTGAAAGCGACGAGCGGGCGATTTCTCGAGTGCGCCGTCAAATCAACTGAACTTTTCATTAAGGCCTTTTGAAGTTCGGCATTAACCCTTTGGTGTGCGCCGGTGTTCCGTCCATACATGACATTGCCATTGCCATTGGCTTTGCTTTTGCTTTTGCTTTTGCTTTTGGCTTTGCTGCAACTGTCGCCGCCTAAGTGATCCGGCACCCATTAGCAGTTGATCCGCAGGCGGCCTCCTCTCCCTCGGAGACCGGAGGAGAGAGACCCCAAAGACTGAAGAGGCTCAGCCACACACGACTTGACTTTGTCAGCGGCGTGACAATTCCGCATAAATCATAATCCTTGCGGTGCGCTGGCCCGAGAGTTAACGTTAACGTAACGACGACGTTTGGCGTCGTCAACTGTGGGGTTTGCTCACGCTTCTTGGCTGTGCCGCCAACCTGACTGCTTTCCCGCCAAAATTGCTTACATATTTCACTATATTTCTAGAGGTTTAAAGAAATATAAGTAAAAAATAAATGGACTTTCTCCAACAGTTCTTCTGAGCCACAAGGAGAAGACTGACTTATTTCAACAACAGAACATTTAACAACTAAATATTCCACAACTATTAAAAAAACTAAACACATAACATTTGAACATTCAACACTTGAACATTCAACAACAGAAAACTGAATATCGGAACATTCAACAACAGAACATTCAACAACAGAACACTCAACAACAGAACACCCAACAACAGAGCATTCAACAACAACTATTAAGAAACTGAATACAACATTTAAACATTATATCAGAACATTCAACAATAGAACATTTAACAACAGAACACTCAACAACAGAGCGTTCAACAAATATTCGAAACATTATTCGAAATTTATTTAATTATTGAAAAACTTAAAACCAACAAGCTTTCCTATAAACTAAGTTTTTGGGCGATAACTAAGATAGATATGATACAAAAGTCGCAAACATTTTTTCGTAATATGTAATACCATCTTTTTATGCCTAAAAATTTACCCAAAATACCATCTATGATTTCACCTCATAGATGTGCTACTTAACTGCAATACTAAGTTAACTTTTCAGACCAAGCAATCATTTTCATAACTCATCTAAGAAACGTTAGCTCATACAGTAATGATATGTGTTTTTATATTTTATACTTAAAAGCTTTTCCTTGGCTATTTTCCGCACTGAATTTCTCCCTCTTCATGGCCAACGCCGTCCCTGAGGCTGACGGAGAAAGAGGTCCGGGACTGGGCCACATGGAAATCCGACTGGGAATGGAATTGGGGACCTGGAATCGCGACTACGACAGGCATTCGGCGGCGCGCGTTTGCGTTTTGCGTTTGAGTTTGAGTTTGGCTTTGGGTTTCTTTGAGAGGCAGCCGTCATGGCGGTGTCAGTGGCTGTGCCGGCCGGGCGAGCGACCAGGCCTCATACTAGCAGACAGTTAGTCAGTCAGTCAGTCAGCCAGTCAAGTCAGCCAAGTCACAAAGGAAGCACTTGAAAAGTGAACATGTTAACGGGGCGAAATAGTTCGTCGCCTCCTTCGGTCTTCAGTTCTTCAGTCCACCAGTTCGTCAGTCCGTCAGTTCTCCATCCGCGGCCGAAAAGGAGCCCTGGATTGGCAAAGAGGGCAGTGCCGTGCCGTGGAGTGGCTTGGCG